CCCATGCAATTTGAATTTGATTTCCTAATTATCCTATTTGTTAGGATAACCCTCTATCTATCTACATCTATCCTATCATTAGGAGATATAGATAGATGGATATATATGGTTATATATCTAATTATATATTTGAATATATAGAATATCAGATACCTTATGTGATTTTTACCTCTAACATTTTTCCCATACTCTCTTTCTAACTCTCTCCCATATTAGAGAACGATCCAACCTTTGCACTGTGATTAAAGTGGGTCATACTCATACTGTGGTATCACCCCATTGCTAGGTGTTCTTAGTTCGAGATTAAAGAAACACGTGATTTATCCACAAGGTTCTTCATTTCAGATTCTATCACAGAAGGTGTGGTTCGAATCCTTTTACCCACTGCGTTATATATATCTTATACAAACAATACACACTTTCTACTAATGACTTTTGGCCAAATTTTCCTTGAAAGTTGTGTAGTGTAAAATTTCCGTATGACGTATTAGTAGTGAAAACAAAAGGAAAATTGGTGAGATTGAAATGAAACTATAATAATAAGACAGAGTTGTGGAATACTAACAAACAAAAACCTTAGGAAAACTAATAATTGACCAGACCACCATGTCTCATGAAACCAACCTGTAGACACCCCATTTTTGACCGACCTTAAGACTCAGACGTCACCGATTGAGCGCTCGGTGATGGTGCATGTTGTGCTCGTTCAGAAGTTTCAGAGTTTCGGCTGCAAGCCTTGCCTCCGGACTTCCGGACTCTTTCATACTTTGCCTCGGTTTGCGAACCAGGCTTTGTTTTCTCTGTTTTCTCTTCCCAAAGGAGGGAGAGGTCTCGTAGATCATCTCTCAGTGGCCGTAGGCTACGTTTCGTGGTCACAGGCCATTTTGCCCGTTTGGAGTCTGGTTTCCGATTTTTCGGAGCCGTTGGCCGTGTGCCTCAGTTCGGGACCGCTTAACCACCTCCAGTTGCTCCGATTTTTGGCATGCATCTTATTTGCTCCCTTTTGAGGGACACTGTGGCTCGAAAAACCAACTTCGTGGTCAAACACCACTTCCGGTGCCTAACAGTCAGTTTTTGGGGCCTCGGGCCGCGCATTTCGGCCCTCGAACCTTCATTTTGCATCAGTTTGGGCTCATTTTTGGCAGGGACCTCTGTTTCATTGTTAGGAAGGTCGTAGAAGGGTGGGAGGAAAGAAATTGTTCTGACAACCAGTTTTATTCCTCCATCGCCCTCCGTCGCCCGTTTTTCTCACTTGAAAGCCAATGTTGACCACCCTAAGGCCACTTTTTCTTGCCCCAAACCACATATTTGTGTTGTACACACCTGGGAGGCCACCAATATCATATGGCTAGCTAGTAATTATGTGTGACCCTTTTGAACCCCTCATAAAAGTGGGCTTTTCTATCTCCTGGTTTACTTTCTCCAGTTTTTGACCACATGGTTGTGTTGTGCACACATGGAAGGCCACCAATCTGGGGTGGCCGGCCACTAATACTGCTTGACCCTTTTGACCCTTGGCCGGCCGGCCATGGGAAGGGCCGGCCAACCACTTGCAACTTCAATAACCAGCCGGCCATGATCCTCTCTCCAGGTACATTACAAATATGCATTTTATTTCCCCCCAGATTGTGTATCCGGGGGGCCAACTTTTGGAGGAAAACTTGAATTCATTTCCCCCCCTTTTTTTCCCCCCTTTTTTCCCACACTTTTGCCTATATAGCAGGCCCCCCAGCTGTGTTTTGAGGGTTACAAAAATTTTCTTTGAGGCTCCCACATTGTATCTCCCTCTCTCTACACTCCAACCCTCCCAAACCCTACACCATTTCTACACCACCACCTAGCATCACACCACCACCATCCATTCCAGCCACTTGGAGCTATTTTCCAGAGCTAAGGAGCCACCAAACTCAAGCCAAGAGTTGTTGAAGCTTGGTCTACAAGGGTGAGTCTTCATTCTCCCTCTTTTGTGCTTTATTTTGTTCTATATCTAGGCCATACTTGCTTGCATATTTGGGCTCCGACCCTAACTGAAAATAGCATTTTTTTTAGCTCCTTTTCATGTTTGTTTAAGGGCCTCTCCCTGTTTGAGGCTTCCCTTTTACACTTGCTTCTTTACCTCTTTTATATGCCTCTTTCTTGCATAGTATTTTAGGCTCGTTTGTAAACTGTTTTGAGCTTATTTATAAACTGTAAAGTGGCTTATTTTGATCCCTTATTCAATATTGTTGAAGGGCTCTTCACTTTTTGAGGCTTCCTTTTGTCACTTGCCTCTTTATCCCTCTTTTGGCCTTATTTTTGCATGTTTTGTTAGCCCCTTGTGCTTGTGTTTTTGGGCTCTGATCTAAACTGTAAATAGCCTCATTTTGACCCCCTCTTCATGTTTGATCAAGGGACCTTTGCTGTTTGAAGCTCCCTTTTTGCTCTTTGTGTTTAAACCTCTTTTTAGGCCTTATTTTGCATAGTGTTTTAAGACTGCATGTGCACTGTTTTGGGTTTGGTCACTAACTGTAAAATATCATGTTTTGGGCCCCTCTTCAACTTTGTTGAAGGGCCCTCATATGTTTGAGTCCAGCAACCGTCACTTGCTTCTTTGTCCCCTTTTTTGCTCATTTCTTGCACAATGTTTTAGGCCTGTTTGTGTTTGGATCCGTGGCTTGTTATAAACTGTAAAGTGCTTTATGTTGAGCCCCTCTTCAACTTTGTTGAAGGACTCTTGGCTATTTAGGGACAGAAGATGCTACTTACTTCATTATCTCTCTTTTGGGGCCATTTTTTGCATGCTAGCTTAGTCCTATTTGTGTCCATTGTTTGGCCTTGATTAAAACTGTAAATATTCTTGTTTTGGGACTGTCTTGATTCGGTCTTCACACTTCATGTTCAAATAATGCATGCTTTGCATAGCCATAGGGCATTCCATGTACCTAATTCCATGTTTCGGGTCTCATTCCGTGTATCGGGTGCCATGTTTCCGTGTTTTGGGATCATTTTGCATCACATTTCAGTGCTGAAACTTGCATGTTTGTATGCCATATTTCGTGCCTTGCCATGCCTTGTTAGAGTGGCATTTGTGCCTTAGGATCGGTCCTCGGTTTGCGTGCATGTATGCACGCATTTCGAGTGTCTCATTTTTCATCTTATGGCTACTGATGTGAGTGTGGCTGAGGTCCATTCATATTGGTGTAAGTCCATTATGCATTGCGTATGCCATTTCAATTCATAGCATTGCGTATGCTAGGTTGTATGTTAGAGCATCGTGTATGCCATGTTACATCGTGCATTGTGTATGCCATCTCATAGCATTGTGCATGCTAGGTTGTATATTAGTTGCATTCATGCATGTCATGCATATTGCATTATGCTTAGGATAGGGGTTAGCCCAAGCACGGGAAACGAGGTACGTTCCGTACTCCGAGTGACGGAACGTGTCTCAATTCCTGGTCGCCGACACTCTGGCTTATCCATGATGGAGCCTCGGTCTTGTTATGTTTATATGTGCATTCATTTCATATCAAGTCGTGCAAATCGATTCCTCGGCCATCATGCATCGAGATGCGTGATTGGTGGCACGAGGATCGATGACTACACTCCCCGAAGGGTAGTCATGCATACATATGTGAAAATACTTTGCCATGCCCCTTTCTTGCTCTCTGTTACAGCAAATCAAGAGTCAGCAGCCTTCCGGAGCTTGGCACGCATCCCAAGAACAATTGCAAACAGAGGCTAATTGGGGCATCGCAATGGATTTTCGCGCAAGGCAACCCGAACATGCATCATTCCTCATCCGGATCAGAGTTGAGGCAGTCTCGGGCTTGCATGCCAATTTATTACTTTCCTAGTTAAATTTGTAAATTAATTAGGGTTTTGTAGTTATTCAGACTGTATTATTTATTTGGGACTGTATATTATTTATTCGGACTCTCTGCGCGAGGGCAATATTGTAATAAGTGTGCGTGAGTGTAATGCATGTCTTCTAACCCCACGTCTTTCTCCCTTTTATTTACCAGCTTATGACGGTTAAATTAGGGCATATTTCAATTAGCATACAGTATGATAGCATGTTTGCATTCATTCATCTGTTTTGCATGCACCGGGCTTCTAGTAAAGAGCTCCCACATGCAGGTGTTTCTTAGCGGTCCCAGGGTTCATTGGCTAGTATGAGATTGTTAAATATTTGGGGAGATTGAGATAGAGATGTGGCAATGTCATGCCAACTCATGTGCGAGTGGGAAATGTTGGAGATTGGGCCGAGTATTGGACCCGAATTTGGGCGCCATGTGGCATGACCCATGGCCCATTCAAATTACCCATGTAATTTGAATTTGATTTCCTGATTATCCTATTTGTTAGGATAACCCTTTATCTATCTACATCTATCCTATCATTAGGAGATATAGATAGATGGATATATATGGTTATATATCTAATTATATATTTGAATATATAGAATATCAGATACCTTATGTGATTTTTACCTCTAACATTTTTCCCATACTCTCTTTCTAACTCTCTCCCATATTAGAGAACGATCCAACCTTTGCACTGTGATTAAAGTGGGTCATACTCATACTGTGGTATCACCCCATTGCTAGGTGTTCTTAGTTCGAGATTAAAGAAACACGTGATTTATCCACAAGGTTCTTCATTTCAGATTCTATCACAAAAGGTGTGGTTCGAATCCTTTTACCCACTGCATTATATATATCTTATACAAACAATACACACTTTCTACTAATGACTTTTGGCCAAATTTTCCTTGAAAGGTGTGTAGTGTAAAATTTCCGTATGACGTATTAGTAGTGAAAACAAAAGGAAAATTGGTGAGATTGAAATGAAACTATAAGAATAAGATAGAGTTGTGGAATACTAACAAACAAAAACCTTAGGAAAACTAATAATTGACCAGACCACCATGTCTCATGAAACCAACCTCTTCATGAGTTCTTTTATTCTTCTTCTCCTTTTCCAATCTCTCAAGGATGGTCAATTGTTAGTCTCCCGCAATGAGACTTTCGCACTCAAGTTCTTCAGCCCTGGCAAGTCCACCAACTAGTACCTCGGAATATGGTACAACAATGTTTCAGAACAAACTGTGGTGTAGGTTGCAAATAGAGACAAGCCAATCAATGACACATCCGGGGTAATCTCCTTTAAGAACACCAAAAACCTTGTCATTCACGGTCCGGACAAGAAAATCCCAGTCTGGTTGACCAACGTGGCAGCCTCAGGGAATGTCTTTTCAACTCAATTGTTGGATTCAGGGAATTTGGTGGTGTTTCAAGGTGATGGCAAAGGGGCCATTGTGTGGCAGAGTTTTGATTATCCTACAGACACCCTGCTTTCTTTAATGAAACTTGGGGTAGATAGGAGAACCGGTCTAAACCGGTTTCCGACATCTTGGAAATCGCGTGATGATCCGGCAATCGTAGAGTACTCGTCCAAAATGGATCTTATTGGGTATCCAGAGTTTTTTTTTTGTATAAGGGTTTGGTCGATTATTGAAAACCGGGTTGTGGGATGGGGTTAGATGGAGTGGAATACCAACAGGGATAGACCGAGAGGGGGGGCTGGCAGGGGCGACCGCCCCCCGATTAGCTAGATGCGAGATCTTAAAATTACAAATATTTTAAAATTATATAGGTTCGCCACTCCAAAATTTTTGCAAAAAATTTAAGAACCACCACCCCTAAATTTTCGACTTTAAAATTTAAAAATTTAATTATTTTTTGATAAATACTAAAAATAATAATAATAATTTTTTTTAAGTATAATTACTTTTTATTTTAAATTTAGTGATGTTAAAATAATTGAGGATTTATTTGTTAATATGTTAAAGTCTTTTTTGTCTGATTAGGGCCCAAAATTTTTAATTTTCTGCTTATAACTAAATAAAAAAAATAAAATACTACTCACGTGTAACCTACCCCATGCTTGAAAATGTCCCCAAATTCTTATTAACCTAATTGTTTAAGCCCTCTTCTCCACTTTAAGCCCGCTTCTTCACTTTAGTCTGTGTGTGTGTGTGTGTGTGTGTGTGTAAATGATATGAAATCTGGAAAAGAACTGGCAGAACGTACAAAATATTCGTGGTCAATGGTGCATTTTCTTCAGTTTCTACGTCGACAACAGAATGTGCATTTTTAGCCATGGAAATTGTAAAGACTGGATTGCGTAACAGGATGAAGGATGATTTTCTTTCAAGCTACTTGTTAACATATGTTGACAAAGACATTGCTCGAGATTTTGATGTAGATTCCATCATAGATGTTTTTTATATTATGAAAGAATATCGTGCACAACTTTAGATGCCTAAGTAAATATGTAAAGCAAATAGTTGCTTTTTTGAAAATTAATATGGATTTATTAGAACATATCCAATTGTATTTTGATAATATTTTGTAATTAAATATAATGAATGGAAACATCTAATTATATATTTTTGTGATATTTGGGTAGAAATTGATATTGTATATCACATACTCATTACAAATTTTTTGATTGCATATACACTCGCCGCCCAATATTAGAATCCTACGTCCGTTCCTGAATACCAGAGATGACAGCCAAATTCATCTTCAATGTCAGTTACGTCAACACTCAAAATGAGGTTTTCGTGTCGTACGTCATCCATAGCACGTCAATTTTCTCAAGAATGGTCGTGAATGAATTAGGAAAAGTAAATAGGCTGACGTGGCATGGGCACCACCAACAATGGATTGGGTTCTAATCGGTCCCTAAGGATCAATGCGACTACTACCGTCATTGTGTTGCAAATGCAACTGTGACTCATCCGTAAATGTTAGTGATTTCGAGTGCACGTGTCTGCCAGTGTTTGATCCCAAGTTGGCACGTGACTGGTACTTAAGAGACGGGTCAAGTGGGTGCAAAAGAAAACGTAGAGGAGACACATGTCAAAATCAAGATGGTTTCATCAAAGTGACACGTGCTAAGTTACCAGTAGGACTGCAAACGAACTGAGTCGAGCTGAGTTTTGCTGAACTCGAGCTCAGCTCGTTTACTTATTGAGCTTGTTTATTGAGCTCGAGCTCGACTCGATAAGAAACTAGGCTCGAGCTCGGCTCGGCTCGGCTCATTAACATTAATGAAGCTCGAGTTCGGCTCAGCTCAGGTCGATAATTTTTGTTAATATTATTTATATATATTTATATATTATTTAATATATAAATAATATATTTCTTATATAATTTAAATAAAGATAAACGAGCCAAGCTTGACGTGCCGAGCTGATGCGAGCTCGAGCTCGGCTCGTTTACTAAAAGAGTCAAGCCCTTAACGAGTCAAGTCGAGTTTGTTCAGAAACAGCTCGGTTCATTTACAGTCATAATTACCAGACACTTCGGCAGCACTTGTCAATAAAACTATTAGATTAAAAGAATGTGAAACAGAGTGCTTGAAGAACTGTTCATGCGAAGGGTATAGCAGTGCGGAGATCTCACTAGAGGGGATTGAGAGTGGATGTGTGACGTGGCATGGGGACTTGATGGACACAAGACAGTTTTCAAGTGGGGGCCAAGGTTTATATATACGTGTTGACGCTGTTGAATTAGGTATGCAATGAATGTCTTGTTGATATTTTTGTGTTTATAGTTGAAAGCAACTGTGAATTTCAGGGCAAGTTTTCCTTCATATTCCTCTTCATATCACTTTAAATTGTTTTATGGACTTTAATCCAACACACATAGTTGATTCGAATCATTTATTTCTTAAATTTTGTAATAAAAATTATTTATGTAAAAAATAGTTTTACCGGACAACTATAAATACAAGAATAAATTATATTTTGTTTTTCAAAATAGATAATTTAAGTTAACAATCATATTTATCATTTATTTTGTAAAATAAAATATGATTTATTCTTGTATTTATAAATATCCGATAAAATTATTATTTTTATTTTTTTACATAGATGTCATTTATATATATATATATATATATATCAATAAAAAGAAAACTTTATTGATGAAAAAATATAGATAACTTTTATTGCAAGAAGTATGAAATAGACGGTTCAAATCATCAGTATAAGTCCGAATTAAAATCCATAAAAAGAATATAAATAGAGACATAAAGGTACAAAGGAGAACTTATCCTGAATTTCTTCAAACAAGGATTCTGAACATGGCCAATCATGTTGAGAAACTCTTGCTTAATTTATCTAGAATGAATGATTAAAGACAAACTCATGCAACACAACTAAAAAACAAGATCTAAAAACATGTATGTGTCAGCATCATAAATTCTACTTAAACCATTTGTTACATATATCCATGGTAGTAACATGTATATTTTTAGAACAATAATACAAAGCTCAAGAAAATTACTCAAAAACTTGATCAGATTTATTTTAAATGTAATCCATGTCATACATTAAGTTTAAACTTTTCTCACAATTTCATTTTAAAATAACTTTATAAACTTTTTAAGCCCTTAAAGTATCCAAAATGGAGTGGTTAAAAATATATACTAAAGTTTGACAAAAGGTAATAAAAGTAATGTCCAAAAATATGTTTTAAGAGTTTGTTAATTTAAAAAGTGACCAATGCTACAATAAATGTGTTAAAATATATGTGCTAAGTTATATATATATATATATATAATACGTATTATATACAAGAAAAAAAAAAGAAGATAAATTACACTCACCTCCCTTGATATTTGAAAAAAATACAATTAGTTCTATACTTTCGATATTATTACGTTGGTTTCCTTTAAAATTTTAATTTAGGTAACTGTTAGGTCATATTTCATTAGTAATTTGTTAATCGTATGAATGAAAAAAAATATTATCAAATACCTTATATTAAAATGTATATTTATCTTTATTTATATCAGTCTCTACCCACCATTTGAATTGTTTTAAGTCACTTTAGTTTTACTAATGGAGAGGTTAGTATAATTATGTCAAAAGTATAGGGTTATTCGTATTTTTTTCAAATCTCAGGGGAGGTGAGTGTAATTTACCAAAAAAATAAAAATAAAGGCCATGTTTTTGTTTTATATTTGTGAAACAATTTTGAAAAATAATTTTCTAGAAAAAGTTTACAAAATTTAAAATTTTGTTTGGTTGTATGTTTTGAGAATAGTTTTTCGAGTTTTGAATGATTTAATCTTTTTTTTTTTTTTGTAGTTAAACAGATGGGTGTGAGAAAAAAAAAAGAAAAAAAGAAAAAAAAAACACTAGGAGAGAGGGAGAGAGAGAGAGAGAGAGAGAGAGAGGCATTTGACGAAAACAAACAAAAGCAATCAAAAGTCTCCTTATTTCTCTACCTTGTGCTGGCAAAGAAATTGATTTAAAAAGTATATATAAACAAAAGCTAAGCAAGTGGCAAACCAATCACCCCAAACAAGGCATGGCTAGCAGACTCCACGTGGTTCTGTCCTCAAAATTGATATAAATATCTATAATTAAAATTATGATTTAGCAAAATTATAAAATTTTGTAACATAAAATTATAAAATGGTATAATTTTTGTTATCACAAAATATAACTCTCATTTAATGGTATACATCATAAATATTCACAACTCTTTTATGGTAATCAAATAATAATAATAAAATCACAACAATATTACATGGTTACTAACGGGTCATAATTCAATCAATTGGGTCCAAATGAATGGAGTTTAATAATTTAAAATAAATCCCCAATTGAGATTAAAATATAAATTCAATTTGATTCAACTCGTTATAGCTTTGGTGATGGAAATCCAAGTAATAAAAAGTTGGGCGTGACAATTATTCCCATATTTTTTACGAATAACATATATGCATTTTGTTTTGAAAATCATTTTTCAAACATAAATATATGAAAAAGACCACAATTGACCTGCACTTTAGCATCTAACAACTTTAGTTATTGCACTAATTAACAACTCTATTGTGGAGAAAAGTAAACTTTTTTTCACTAATACAACCCTTAACAAGTCCATTGCTAATTCTCTTAGTTTTCTCCAAAATTTTAATATATTTTTGTAATCTTTAATTTAATTATAAGTACGAACTAGATTTACTCACTTTTAATCGCAGAGGACCCTACCATGCTTGTTCATAAGCCATTTTATTGTTTAGCCTTAGGTTAAAAAATTTCAAACTGTTCCGGTTGCCGTAATGAAATTCATTATGAGTTCTACTTCGATATTGTTTATTTTATTGGATGCTACTTATAGATTATCTATAAAAATAAAAAATAAAATAAAAAAAAAGGGAAAATCAAATTTATCCTCAAATTGTCTCACAAAGTGAGTTTGTAGTCCCACTTTAATGATCGTGACTACGTAAGTTTATTAGATTTGTCTTTGAAATGAACAATTTATTACAAAAGCACACTTCCTGTCTATTTTTTTTAATTGTTTTTTTGAAAGATAAATCTATTGAAATTATATATCCATGATTATTAGATCAAGATTTATTATTATTATTATTATGAATAACTCAAATTACTAGAATGGAACATGCTGTAGACACCAAGGGCTCAAATGTACTAGATTAGACTTCTCTGTAAACAGCGAGAAACCAAATCTTATTTTTTTTCTTTTTTTTCTTTTTTAATCATATTCTATAGTAAAGAACACATAAAGGAAGGTAGATGCCATGCCATGGGGTGGAAACACTAGTTGTAGAGTCATGTTATAGTGATCATCTATTTTTATTATCTTCTATTATTATTCAATGTATTAGTCTAATTGTCAGTACTACATTAGATATATACATGAGTGGTTAAACCTATTACACCAATGTTATGTTGACAAAAAGATAATGAACATATCATTATGTTCATTGCTTATTCAATGAACTTAATGTGTTATGATTTCCAAATTCAGAGAAGCATGCAAACTTGAACTTATTTTTGCTATGAAAGCATTTTCTCTTTCTTTGTAGTATAAAATAAAAGAACAAATAAGAAAAAATCAAGCATAAATTATTAGCTTTTTATTTACAATAAATTAATAAATGGAGTGGCCACTACAACAAACTGCACATTTGGCGACTAAATTTGGCGACCAAACCAATTTTAGTCACCAAAAACAGGGTGTTCGGCGACCAAAATTAGCTACCAAAGTGTTTTAGTCGCCATATAGTGTTATTGGCGACTAAATTGTTTTTAGTCGCTATTTTCAACCACTTTACGCTACCAAAGTTCAATTTCGTCGCCGTATGATAACATTCCACGACAAAACTTTTTGTCGCCAAAAAATTGGGAGAATTTTTTATGCTTTTTGGCGACCAAAACAAATATTTAGTCGCTGAAGTTTCCAATTTTTTTTTAGAGGGAAACTCATTAATATTGGCGCCTACATTTAACAAAGGTTTATTTTTCTTCTGTTTGACACACACCATACAGAGCACTCGATACCAAAGCTTTGCGCCGCTGGCCACCGTCGTTCATCACTAGCGCTCGCGACCACGAACATTGCAGTCCAGCCCACCACTTATTACAGGTATTTCTCTCTCCCTCTCTATCGATCTGTGTCTGTCTGTTTGTATCTCTCTCCTTCTCCATCCCCGTGGCTCACGAGTTCTGAGGGTTTTGAAATGTTTTTGTTTTCCATTTTCTGTCGATTTCGTAATCAAAGCTCTGATTAAGTTAGGGCTTTTTCTGATTACAGGTATTTAGGGCTTTTTCTGATTTCGTGAGGTTGGAGAAAGAGGTTGTGAGGAAAAACACTATACAATTCATAGTAAACCAAATCAGTGAAAGTGTTTTTGTAAAACAATTTGCTTTCTGATTAAGTTTTCTACTTCTTTTCTCCCCCCCCTTCGGTATCATCCCCGCTTCTCTGTATCCCTTTCTGCAAATCATCTGTTTGTCAAAGTATTCTAGTTTTTGGGTTTGTTTTTGTGTTTCAGAAAATAAAAAAAACAAACTTCAGTGGTATTTCTCGAAAGCCAGGTGTTTTCACAATAGAGATCAATTTTATTTTTATTTTTTTGTTTTATTTTTTTGTTTTTGTTTTCTTTGTTTCATCAAATCACCTGCGAGGGTAGTTTTTTTGTATCCCTCTCCAGGTTGGTTCTTTTACATCTTGGACTAAATAGGCTTATCTATTTTCAATCCTCTTTATTAGGTTTTTTCGGTATGCGTATACACTGATTACAATCCATCACTCTTGAATTCCAATACTACTTGTGGATGGGTATACACAGAGCATGTATGGCGTTTCTATAATTTGACAAGTATTGAAGTTTTATTGCTGATTTTCTTGTCCTACATTGGTTTGAACAAGCTCATCTAATTTGGAGTATAGATTAGTCGCTCAAATTGTTTATAAATATAAATTTTGCTTCCATACACAAATCAATTCAATATTCTGAGAGGCAAGTCAATTTCTTAATCTGGGATTTTTCATCTTTCTATATTTTTATTTATTCATTTATTTTTTGAGCAGATGGGCAATGTTTGGTTTTGCTGTTGGGATGCTAACAGAGTATGCAAATGGCTCAGACTTCCTTGATCAAGTAAACATTCTTCTCTCCAATTTCGGGATTGTAGACTTGGAGTAACTTATCTGTTTGATTTCCAATGCTACAAATACGTACTCTCTGTTACATGTAATTTCTGTAGTTAAATCCAATGTTTCATTTGCCGCTTTTTTTGAGTAAATTTTCAATTTTCATTTGTTTGAATCACTTAATTATCTGTATTCTCACTATTTACATGAATTTCAAAAAACACAAATTTGTTGTGTATAATTTGATTTTGAGTTGTGTATACTTTGTATGAGATTCTAGCTCACCAAAATTGCATCCTAACCTTTTGGTTGTTGGTACATAATCAAAGATTCAAAAGTGCAATCCACAATCCAATACCTTGTCACCATGAAGAGTTGTTTCTGCTCTAGTTTTAACAGAAACTAGTGGTCCAGATTTTGAGTTATGTTTTCTTTTTTGTTCTCTGTCTATTTATTATTACACACCCCTAATTCTTTTTTGAACAAAAAGAAAGCATTTTTGTGTTCAAGTTTCCTAAGGGTCAAACTCACCAGACACTCCAAAAAGACTGGTAAGTCTATCTACCTTCGGGTAATTCTCAAAATATTATCACTAGGTCCATGACACTAGTTAAAAATTAGATCATTTATTTCTTAACTATTGAAAACAGTGCTAGAACAATTGATGTTACTAGACTGACTCAATAATACCTTCCAAGTGATAATGTGCCTGCTTGGATTTATAGTGTTGATTTGCAATTTCATGTGATAAAAAATAAAAACAATAAATTAAAGAAAAGTTGCAGTTTTAAATTTATCTATATTTATTTTATGTTTGATTTTTCTATAGTTAATTATGCTGACGGATAAGCATAAATTTCACAAAATCAATTGTCATTTCGATGCCAAAACATTGAGATTTCAAGTTACAATGATATAAACTTTTTTTTTTTAAATATGTATTTAGGTTAAGAAACAGGTTGTTCTTTGAATTGTATAGTGTTTTTGAAATGTATCTACTTTTAATGTCTGTCTATTGAAAGCTCATTTATATGTGTATGCTTTTTCAGTTCTTTATTTAAAGTAAAGGAAGATGATGAAGTAGACAATTTAGACATAAAGTTCAAAGTGAGGTGGAAAACAAAGCGTGCATACTCGTATCTACCTCCTGAAGTTGCTTTAAAGATCAGTAGATCATTAAAAGTTATTTTTTTGCTCCATTTTGAGTTGCATTTAACACATGAAACTGTGCTATTGGACAGTTTATTGTTTACTTTGTCTCCTTTACCAGCTTTACTGATGATTTATGATATACATTTTCCCCACTTTCGGTTTTACTTTGAGAAAAAAAAAATTCTTCATTTCTTTCATCACACAGTCAAATGATGGAGTACAATTATTATTGTAAAGTGTCCATCTATGTTTTACACCATGTAGTAAATGTCTAATATTGTTCTTGAATTTTAAAAGGATTTTTCTTCTGATTGGAACAAATATATAGAATTCAGTATAATGTTTGTTAAATATAAATTATATGTCTCCCTGTAAGATGACTTGACATAGAATTGTTCATGTATGTCACATTAGCGTATGCATACATGCCGAGTTACTACTGAAATTAGCCAACTATATCCAATGATGTTTGGATATTTATGTATGTGAGGTTCATGTAAATGTATGTAAATGACGTATGTGAGCTTTATGTAAATGTATGTAAATGATGTATGTGACGTTTATTACTCATGTCATTTTGGTATTTTTTTATGTAGATACCATGGTTCCTGGAATCAAGACGAGGCAGCGGAAGACAGCAACAAGTGGCAACGTATTATCAGGCTCTGAAGCATGTCCAGCAGTTATTGGCACCCCGTTGACGTTATCTGATGAGACACAGCCACCAGATGATACACAAACAGTGGTGGAGGAGACGCAGCCAGGTGGCGTGGGTAAGAGCATTGAACTTAGTTCTTTACAAATTCTTTTTTCCTTTTTTCTGGGGTGCATAAGTCAGGTCTTTAAGGCAATGAAAACCCCATAAACAGGAAGAAAAACAAACAAAATGTGAATGCCTTGTTAACCTGATTGGTAAGGAATGCCTTTGTTAATTTGTAGGTTAATCTGTTTGTTAATCTTGTTAGTCAATGTGAATGCCTTAGTTGGATTGAGGGATGTTTGAAACATCATATCAACATCTTGAGCTGATAGTTCAAAAATATTGAATAATTACTCTAATCAATATTTGCCAACATTTTTTTTCAAATTGACTTAACATGAGTAAATATCAATATTTGCTAGCAGCTACTACAAGATTTGTTCAATATGATTTGTATTTTTTGTTTTTTTGCTGCCAAGTAGGATGTTAACAGAATAATAAGTGCGAGTGTATGAAGACCTAGTAGTCAATAACTGTTAGTGTAATAGCAATTATAGCTACCAGAAACATGAAGTCATGGAATCTAATTTGCCACATGAGGTCGATCACTTTTCCAAAAACAGGGGTCAGGATGATGCTACACATACGGAGACAGATGAAAATGGAGATAAAGGTAGTGGAAGGTGGTAAATCTGCAGAGGAGGATGACGAGGATGATGTCGCAAAAAGTGTTGAAGGGTCAACCAATGGAAATCACACAATGGAAGGGTTGTCAGATGATGTAGATGGAGGTAATGATTGTATGCCTGGTTCAGTGGTTAAAGAAACTGAGTGTGCTCTAGGGAAACCAAACGTTGGGGGCTGCACTAATGAAATAGGGGTGGTCCAGGTGGTCTGTTCAAGAATAGTGGAGAATGGGGGGCTCAAGAGGTCGATGATCAGATTTGCACTATTGGCTATATGAATAGTTTGAATGGATTAGAGTGTGGTAGGCCCAATATCAATTTAGAAGTTGTGTTAAATGGAGCCCAATTTGAGCCTATGACTAATAGGCCAAGGAGGGTGGTTAATTCAAATTTGAGTGACTGTATAGCCCAGTCCAAGGCTTTGTCTACAGTGGGGAACTCAGCCTTCAAGGATAAACAACATAGGGATGGCCCATTCCAGAGGGCTACTGCTAGAACAATGAGAAATGACGATCTAAAGATGAAAGGCACTGAATAGAGGAAAGGAAGAAGGAGGAAGGGTGCACATTCAAACCAGAATGGGCTGTTATTTAGTAATTGTCTAAAAAATAGGGCAATACTTAGAGCGGCAGCAGCAGCCATATCCTTATCAGTGTCTCAAAGTAGCAATTCAAAAAATACAAGAAAGTTGCTTAATGAAGCTCAAGCAACGATTGAGATGGGGAAATTATTAGGGTTAAACTGTGAAGGGAAAGAAGATGAAGTGGTGAGAAGAATAGTTAAGTTGGAGGAAAAAGATTTGGAAAGAGTAGAAGGGAGGGGTTAGATGGCTTAAGCTGTTGGGATCATAAAGGAGAGTAGGAGCTGTGATGTTGGTGTTAATGAAGATCATGTCATGGAATGTTAGAGGTCTTCGACGACCTGAAAAAATGAGTAAAATTAAAGCATTGGTAAGGGAAAGAAAAGTCGATGTTTTGATGCTACAAGAGACGAAGAGAGATAGTGTGCCTGCTATCACTGTTCTAGATCTGTGTTGGAGTGCTGGTGGTGATTTTCTGGTGTTTGATCTTGATCAGTATAATGGGTTGGGTTGTAATATGGAGTCTGCTACGTCCTGCTGCTGCTGTTGGTTGATCTTGATCAGTGCTGGTGTTTGCTGCTGCTGTTGTGGAGTTTGCTATGGCCTGCTGTGCAGGCCTGGTGTCTGCTTTTTCTTCATTAATAAATTTCCTTTTCTTGGCTGCTTAAAAAAAAAAAAAATATGAACTGTGGAAAAACAAAATTCATTACAGAAATATATGGCTCCCAACAGAGTCATGATATAGTTATGGATTATCATGCATGAGTTGGAAAGAAAGAAACACTAGAAATTATAGTTATTTTTGGTCTGACCTTTGTGCCTGAATAGGACAATTTCACAAAGTTATAGTAATTTAATCTGATTCTCAATTTTTGAACTCATGTCTAATTAAACAATCAACAAGGCAATTGCTATCCTCTGGAAATTTATTGAATCTGTGACGATTTTTGGGGATTGATCCCTTCCCAAGAGGGATCAATTGACAAATTGGTTTTGAGACCAATTCTAACTCTATTTCTAACTCTGCTGGTGCTGCGTATTGTCTGCTACTGCATGGTCCTCTCAGCTTTCAGTCGATTGGTCCTCTGTGTCTTTGTCCTGTCAGTAGTTTGGTTTGTGTTAGCTTGCTGTTTGCTGTCTAATGTCTGCTCCTGATTTGTCTGTATCAGAGTTAAAGTTGTGCAGTAAGGGTGTTGGCACTATGCCTCAGAGCTGTTTGGTCTGTTTTGATGCTGGATTGGTAAAGTTCTGAGCATAGAACTCTGTTTGGTCTGTTTGGGAAATGTATAAAGGGGTGACTGAAGCAGGAGATCGGATCTGCTAAGGGAGTGTTAATCTGCTGTGCTGGGCACTATGCCTCAGAGCTTGCATAACAAATTTTTGTTAACCATAAGAATGGTCCTAGGATGACTACTTAAACCTCAGAGGTTTTAGCAATTATGTACTGCAATATCTGCTGAATTTAAAAAAAAAAAAAAAACTAACAAGAACTTCCAGCCTGATCATATGCAATATTTGCTGAATTTCATCATCACATTTCAACAATTATGTACAGCATTAGGGAATGTGTAGTGTCTACTAACTGTACACGAGTGGTCATTACGAACAATATTTGAACTGGTACAATTATATGAAGTGACGTTCAAGGGATGATTATATAACGCGACCTAGACCTATGACTCTAGCTAAAGTCTTATGTCGGCTATTACTTTAGGCTAGCAATCAGGAAAATCAGATGATTTTGGAACACTGTGTTCCCAACTAGGCTGCATAATTTTTAATAAAGGCACTCTGTGTTCCCAAGTAAGGCACACTGTTTAAACATATGTTTTTAAACATAAAGTTCATTGATTTAGTTGAGTTCTAAACTTAAAAGAAACCAAGGGTTGTACACTTATAATTAACGATATTAGTTTGATAGTCAGTTATTGTCTTCGCTGTAATTAAGATGCTTATATGTGTTTATGTATTTTTTTTTT